ACATTCCATGACAAGGCACTATGTAGCTGCCAGGGAGAGGAGCCCTAGTCTATTGACCCCACTTAGTAGTCCTCACAATGTCCAGCTGAGAGTTGCTAGCATGGCTCAGACCAGGACTCTGGAGTCTGTATAATTCAGTATCACACCAAGGATCACCGAATGGTTACAATGCAGAGGGAGGCTAATTGGCCCTTTGAATCCTTGCAAGAGCAACACAACTCTTCCCACTCCTTCACCTTTCCCTGACAGCCTGGTGGCTTTGGCTGTTTGGACAATTATCCAATTCTCTTTTCAAAGCTCCAGCTGAACCTGTCTCTACACATCTGTCAAGTAGTGCACTCCAGATCCTAACCATTTACTGAGAAAATTTTCCTGAAGTCTCCTTTGTTTTTTTTTGCCAATTGAGACTGGTTCTGCACCAGTTTGAGTAAATGGGGGCATCACAGCTTGATATTTGCTTAGTTGCCTTTGGGGACTCAGTTGCATGGAGGATATTAAACTTGATTTTTGCCCAGGTCCACAGTTCCGTGCTGAGAATAGCCACAGCTTTCAGGAAGGCTGGAATCACAGACTAACATCTGAGTTTGTCTGGGACGACACTTTGATAGGTTTCTCAATTTGTTTGACAGACATTACAGAGCACGGTGCAGAGTGCAGAGAACGGGAAAGACATTTTATTTCGAGGAGATACAGAGGGTTCTCCTCTGACCAGTCTTTCTGCCAAAATACGAGAAATTGTCACCAGAAACCTGGAGGAGGAGGTATCAGGTAAGGACAAAGATAACGAAGAGCCAACAGTATAAAAGACCACCTCCCTGCTGATTCTTTTAAACTATAACCAACAGTGCTTCTGCAGCCATAGAATTGGAATGAAACTTGCTCTGCAGAACACAGATAATTAGGAAGTAATCCTTACTCTGTTAAATAAATAGTAAATTACAAAATGATCTTTTAGTCTGCTGCATAAAGCATAACATTGTGTGATGCATAGTGTTTGCACATCATTCTGAATAAATAGTAACTCTGTACAGTCAGACAATGAGTAATCCTTACTCTGCTGAATACTATGATGCATTGCAGAAAGCATTGATGTCATTAGGTACACAGTCTGGCATTCAGGATCCATCATCTCCAGGAATTGTGAGAAATAGCCCATGCCATTTTTTCTTGCTCCCCCGTTTGATTTAGCTAATTAATCTTATGTACCCTTTTGATGTTGGCTCTCTCCGCTGTAGCATTGCCCCTGGAGATGACATCTATGCTGCCTCTTCAAGAAGAGAATCGTATTTTGCAACAGGAGTTATCCCGTGTGGAGGACCTCCTGGCTCAGAGCCGAGCTGAGCGCGATGAACTGGCGATTAAATACAATGCCATCAGTGAGCGGGTAGGTGAACCAAGGGCACCTGAGGGTTGACACAGTCTGAAATAACAGATTTTCTCCTGGAGACAGGTTGGACAAGATTAAGTGGAGGTGTCATGAACCAAAGTCTGGATGAGGAAACCTTTTTCAGTGACCGATATCAAAATTATATTTGCATCCACTTCTTTTAAGAGTCTAAGATGTCAGCATCAGGTCCTCAGGACTTTAGCCTTTAGGGCTAAAAAATTTCCCAAGACCTTATCCCTGGTATTGGTACAAAAACAAAGTTGCTGGAAAAGCTCAGCAGGTCTGGCAGCATCTGTGAAGGAAAAAACAGAGTTAACATTTCGGGTCCGGTGACTCTTCCTCAGAATTGATAGTGGCTGGGAAAACGTCAGTTTATATGCAGAAAATAGGGAGGGGGGTGGGGTAGGGAGTAAACGATAGGATAGAGCCCGAAGAGAGAGAAAGACAGTTAGATAGACAAAGGAGTTGCTAACGATCAGGCTGGGAGGGTGAATAGTTGTTAATGGGGACTGTTAGTGACTAACAACAGGGGGTGTGTAGTGGCAGGCTATGTGGTGACAAAGCCTGGTGTGTGGGGTGGGGGGCTGGGACAGGGGAGAGTTTAGGCCCTAAAATTATTGAACTCAATATTGAGTCCGGAGGGCTGCAGGGTTCCCAAGCGGAAAATGAGGTGTTGTTCTTCCAGCTTGCGTTGGGCTTCACTGGAACACTGTAGCAAGCCAGAGACAGAGGTGTTGGCCAGGGAGCAGGGTGGTGCATTGAAGTGGCAGGCAACGGGTAGTTCAGGGTCTTTTTTGCAAGTAGAATGTAGATGTTCTGCAAAGCGGTTGCCAAGTCTATGCTTCGTTCCCCCAATGTAGAGGAGACCACATCGTGAGCAGCGACTTCAGTAGACTAGATTCTGGGAAGTGCAGGTGAAGTGTTGCTTCACCTGGAAGGTATGTTTGGGCCCTGGGATACTGGGGAGGGAGGAGGTAAATGGGCAGGTGTTGCACCTTCGCTGCTTACAGGGGTAGGTGCTGTAGGGCTGTGGGGAGGTGTTGGGGGAAGGAAGTGTGGACCAGGGTGTCCCGGACAGAACGGTCCCTGTGGAAGGCAGACAAGGGAGGGGAGAGGAATATGTGTCTGATGGTGGTATCTTGCTGGAGGTGGCGGAAATGGCGTCTGATGATCTTCTGGATGTGGATGCTGGTGGGATGGTAGGTAAGGATAAGGGGAACCCTATCGCTGTTGCAGGAGGGAAGAGAAGGGGTGAGGGCGGAAGCGCGGGAGATGGGTCGGACCTGGTTGAGGGCCCTGTCGACAATGAAGCTGGGGAAACCTCGGTTGAGGAAGAAGGTGGACATTTCGGAGGCTCCCTTGTCAAAGTATTGGTGATTGTTTTAAATTCCTCCCCACTTCCTTTCTCTTCTCAATTTTTAAGTATCTTTGAGAAGTTTTCTTCCACAGTGAAGACAGACAGAAAATACCTGTTCAACAATTCTGAATTTAAGGTGCTGTGATATAGGAGATGCTGCCTTTTGGCTGGTACATTAGACTAAGGTTCCCTCACATTGATAAAAAAGGTCCTATGACAATATTTCAAAGGAGAGCAGGACTATCTTCTCCAGTTTATTCCTTACACAAGACCTAAGGGAACAAATGATCAGTCACTAATGCTGGTGGTGGTTTGCTGTATGCAAATTGGTTGCCAGGTTTCCTTCAATGAAATGGCAGCTACATTCCCAAAAAAATTCTTCATTGATTGTAAAATAATTTGGGATTGAGCTGGTGAAAGGCGTTGTATTGTTCAATTATTCCTTTCTTTAAGAAATGTGGTTTTGACCCTACAGCCTGGTTTTTGTTCTGTTGACGCTGATGTGTGTGGAAGAGACTTGGTAGCAAGATGTTCTCCCACTCATGGTGGTTGCCCCGTGACCTAGCACAGTACCTTGTTAGGGATGGAAAGCCATGTTTACGCTAATGCGGAGTCATCGTCTGTTCAGAATGTGCTTAGGTTTCATTAACAAGGTGAATGGTGGCAGTGGCCCAGGAGCAGTCGACCTGCCTGGGCTTGCCTTTCCTTTTGAGTAATTCATCGACATGTTCAAACATGCCTTAGTATAGACCTGAACTTTAGCATCACTGAATACTTTCAATTTAAGGCATTGGCTTGTGATATGCACGCAACACCTCCCATTCCAAGCTACTGCAGTATCGGCCTGAGTTTTAGGTTTCACTTTCGAGTTTCCTATTAGGCTCCATTGGTTACTGCGATGTTCTGTGGGGTACTGAGCCATAGAGACTGGCGGTGAGCGCGTGGGGTGTTCCAGAGCTGATACAGTAGATTTGGAGGCATGTCACAATCCACTGTAACACAAACACAAATTGTAAGAGAAGTCATCGATATAGAATCCCTACAGTGTGGGAGCAGGCCGTTCAGCCAATCCAGTCCACACCCATCCTCCAAAGAGCATCTCACCCAGACCGACGCCCCCTCCCCCCATCCCTGGGCCTTGCATTTCCCATGGCTAATCCACTTAGACTGCACATCCCTGGACACGGCAATTTCCCATCTAACCAATGCACCCTTTGGACTGTGGGAGGAAACTGGACCACCCGGAGTTAACCCATGCAGACACGGGGAGATGGTCACCCGAGAGTGGAATTGAACCCAGGTCCCTGGTGCTGTGAGGCTGCAGTGCTAACCACTGGGCCATTCGTTATCCTCTACTTCAAATATTTATCCAGCTTTTCCTTGAAGGTGATGGTCTATGCTTCAACTACAAATCATTGGTTCAGTGAAGTAGATTGCTAGGAAGAGGGGAAATCAGAGTGGTTCTTGTCCCTGATCACCAGATCAGGCATTGTGTTCATTTATTCCTGTTGGGAATGTGGGTGTTGCTGACTGCCCTTGATCTGATTGGCTCTCTCAGCCATTTCAGAGAGGAGTTAAGAGTCAACCATGTTGCTGTGGGTCTGGAGTCACATGGAGAGTTAAGGATTGCAGATTTCCTTCCCTGAAGGACACAGGAGAATCACATGGGTTTTTACAATTGGCAATGGTTACACGGTCTCTATTTGACTAGCTATTCCAGATTTCAGATATTTTTTAAAAATTGATTTTAAATTTCACCATCCATCACGGTGGAGTTCAATCTTGTGTTCCCTGAACATTAGCCTGGGATTCTGGATGACAAAACAAGTGATACTAAGAATATATCATCACCAGCCTGTTTGAGTGAATGAGGCCAGGATTAAGGAGTTGGCTGTAAGGTCTGTTTCGATCAAATATCTTCAAGGTCGGATCACAGGCATGAAGAATAGTTAGCTACCAGAGGGTAGCTGATGTCTGTGTGGACTCTGGTGGAAAGAAAATAAAAAATTAAAACCTGGAAAAGTGACAGATAGGTTTGAGTTTGAAAAAAGCAAAGCATTGGATTTCACTTGTAAAAACTAACCATAGAGTCATTATTGCCCAGAAAGAGGTCATTCACCCCATCAAAGAGATAGTAAGAACTGCCGATGCTGGATTCAGTGATAACACAGCGTGGAGCTGGAGGGTCACAGTGGGCCAGGCAGCGTCAGAGGAGCAGGAAAGTTGACATTTCGGGTTGGGACCCTTCTTCAGAAATGGCGGGTGGATGGGAGCTCAGAAATAAATAGAGAGAGGAGGGTTGGGGCTGTGGAAGGTAGGTGGGATATAAAGGTCAGTGTGCCCTACCACTACTGCGCCCCCTTTATCTGCGGGTTTGATAGTGAGGTTAGGGTTGAAGCAGAGGGCTGCACGTTCCGTGGGGGAGAGGTTGGAGTGGGGGAGAGGTTGGAGTTAGTGAGAGTGGGTGGAAAGGTTCAGGCGATCGATGTCGCGATCGCAGTTGGAAATGAAGAGGTCGAGGGAGGGTAGGAGGCCATGGGGTGGTGTCCAGGAGGAAGGGGGCTGTTGGAGGTGGGAAAAGGGGAATGTAGAGTGTGGGTTAGACTCGCCATCACATCTATGCCGGCCTTCCACAGAGCAGTCTAGGGCTATGAGAATTCCCTGCGTTATCTGAGTCGTCAGCCAGTTAGTTTTCCTTCCTGTGCCAGTTCATTTTCTTCTTCGGCTCACTAACCATCTGTTTGCACAGCCTTCATAGGCAGAAGTTCCAGGATGTTAATCCCCACTAATCCCCTCCCTCAGGCTGTATGCCAGGAAAGCTTAGAGCCCTTTGCTTGATCCCTGTTTTATTAATACAACCCAGCAATCAGCTGACTTCCAGTTCCTCCAGCAGCCGCTTCCCCCCTCCCCTTGTTTTTTTCACATCGACAAGAGCAACACAATTCTTTGCTTGGTTGCCATGGCAACATCCTCCCAGGGAGGCTGGTGATGTTCCAGTGAATGGCAGGGTCTATTGGTATGGAAATTTCGAGAGGAAAGCAATAAGACAGTCAACCATCTGGGCCTGCAGGGACGGGATAAGGTAGCAAAAATAATTCTGAGACCTCCCGCAGTGCGGTCTGCAGGAATTCATGGCTTTGATGTTTCTGAACCATTTGAGGGGGAGAAAAAAACAGATCTTGACTTTCTAACGGACCGCTGTATTTTAACGGTTTAACCATAATGCGGCCAGGCATCTAGAAGGTAGTTTTCTAATTAGACATGGAACACGGAAAGCCATGGAATTGAATTACAGCCGGGGTGAGTACAGAAAGGGACACACTGCAGCTTTCTGCTTCTTAACGTTATGATGGTTTTGGGCTACAAAAGAACATTTAATAGAAGCAGGAGTAGATATGTGACCTCTTGAGCCTGCTGTGATTGACATTCAGCTCCAATTTAACAGCCTTAAATATATTCAGTATGAACGTACAAAGACACGAATCAGAGCAGGAGTAGGCCCTTAAGCCTGCTTCACCATTCAATAAGATCATGGCTGAACCGATCATTCCACATACCCGCCCACCATGATAATATTTCACCATCTCACTTGTTGAGAATCTGTCTATCTCGACCTTAAAAAATTCAAGTTCTTTGCTTCCACCATCTTCCATCAGGGAATTGTGAAGACTGCCAATCTTCTGTGACAAGAAAAAACATTTTTCACATCTGTCTTAAATGGGTGACCCCTTATTTTTAAACAGTTACTCCTAGGTCTAGATTCTTCCACTAGATGAAACATCATTTCACATCCACCCTGTCGAGATCCCTCAGGACCTGTGTGCTTCAGTCAAGTTCCCCTTTTACTTTAGTACATATGAGCCTAGTCTGTCCAACCTTTTCTCATGAGACAACATGTCTATCTCTTTGCTGTTTCCAACATGTTTATGTTTTTCTTTAAATAAGGAGATCAATGCTGTGCACAGTATTCCAGGTGTGGTCTCACCAATGCCCTGTATAACTGAAGCACAACACACCTTTATGACATCTGTCCAAATCTAATCCCTTGTCTCTCTGTGGTATTTAGATTAAAAGCTTCCCTACCTCCTGGTTATGCAGCTCGCTAGAATACTGGCCCCAGCCTAATTTCGGTTTAGACCATCCCAAAGGTACAGTCCCATTCTCCACAATGCCTGAGTAGTTACCATGGAGACAAGCAAGAGGCTTCAAAACACATGAGAGCTTGGCTGCAGCATTCCTAATATCTCTGAATGGCCCAGCTTGCCCCGGAAATAGCCTGAAGCCCTCACAACCTGATTGGCCATTTAGCCTGAGGCTCAATGTGAATAAGAGAGTCTGAGGGCAAGTAATTGTGTGTGGACTGAAGAGTTATGTGCCAGGTGTTGCTATGGAAACTTCAGTTTGTTGGGCTGAAGATGTGAAGGTGCAGAGAGATCCAATTCTATCAACATGGGTGCAGCAGTGATTAAAATGTCAGTCAGTGAGCGTTGGTACATCAGCGCATGAGGAGAGTGAGTCCATCAGTAATGAATCTCTGTAACATAGTCCCAACCAGCACACAAAACTCTAGCACTGTACTTATAATGAAACTTGAAGAGTTCTATTGTAAAGTAACCTTGAGGTGAACCACATTGGCAATTAATTTAGTTTTAAAAGTTATTTTTGTGTTAATATTAACTCCCTTGCCCCTGTTACAAAGAAGAACAAAGAACAGTATCGCACAGGAACAGGCCCTCCGGCCCTCCAAGCCTGTGCCAACACATTTTGCCCTTCAATACTAAAAGAAGACAGGATCCATATCCCTCTATTCCCTTCCTGTTCATGTATTTGTCCAGGTGCTTCTTGAATGCTGCTACTGTGTCTGCTTCCACCACCTCCTCTGGCAGCGTGTTCCAGGCACTCGCCACCCTTTGTGTGAGAAACGTGCTTCGTGCATCTCTTTTAAATTCACCTCCCCCCCAACCCTCGCACCTTGAACCTGTTTCCCCTAGTAATTGACTCCTTCATCTTGGGATAAAGCCTCATACTTTCCTCTCTAACCATGCCATTCACAATCTTATAAACTTCTGTTAGGTCGCCCCTCAACCTCCTGCATTCCAGTGAAAACAAACCCAGTCTATCCAACCTTTCTTCATAGCTAAAATCCCCCATAACGGGCAACATCCTGGTAAATCTTTTCTGCACCCTCTTCAAAGCGTCCACATCCTCTAGTAGTGTGGTGACCAGAACTGTACACAATATTCCAGGTGTGGCCTAACTAAAGTTCTATAAAGATGCAGTGTAACTTGTTTATCTCTATACTCAATGCCCCTTCCAATGAAGGCAAACATGCCATAAGCCTTTTTTACTACCTATCTACCTGCGCTACCACTTCAGTGATCGGTGGACCTGCATACCCAGATCCCTCTGCACGTCAGTACTCCTAAGGGTTCTACCATTCACTGTATAATTTCCACCTGTACTTGACCTTGCAAAATGCATCACCTCACATTTGTCTGGACTAAACTTTACTTGCCATTTTTCTGCCCAGGCCTCCTCCTGATGTAAATCCTAATGTATCCTCTGACAATCCTCCTCACTATCTGCAATCTTCGTATCATCTGCACACTTACTAATTAGACCATCTACATTTTCCTCCATATCATTTATGTAGATCACGAACAGCAGAGGTCCCAGCACTGATCCTGTGGAACACCACTAGTCACAGCCCTCCATTCCGAAAAGCATCCTTCCACTGCTACCCTCTGTCTCCTACGACTAAGCCAGTTCTGTATCCATCTTGCCAGCTCACCCCGGTACATGTGACTTCACTTTTTGTACCAGTTCGTCATGAGGGACCTTGTCAAAGGCTTTACTGAAGTCCATGTAGTCAACATCAACTGCTTTTCCCTCATCAATCGTCTTCATCATTCCCTCAAAAAACTCGCTCAAGTTACCTTTTCTGTCTGTCACAACCAACCTTGTTATATCTTTTCTTTATGCTCTCTCTCTAAGTGCAAATTATTCCCAGTTATTCCTGTGCTGCCAACTGTTATCTGGTGTCTTCCTGTGAAGTTTTCTTGCAAACACCAGTATTAACTGGGCTGTTCCCAGTCTTTTCATTGTTGAGCTCAATAAGCTGCTATGGTATTTGTGCAAGACAGGCAACAGATTTGGGAAGCTTGGTGCAATGTTGTCAGTCCCAAGGCCTAGCAAGCATTTTGGATGGAAGTAGTTGTGGGTTTGGAAGGTGCTGTCTAAGGATCTTGTAGAGAGTACACATTGCTGCTAGTGAGCGTCGGTAGAGGAGGTGCCTCTCTGACATTAACATGTAAAATTTAAAGTGCCTGGTTTTGGGGATTGTGATGGGGATAGAGAACAGGATGGCAGACAGGGAATTAAGAGTAGGAATAAGCGAGTCTTTTTCCAAGTGGTAGGCAGTGATTAGTGGGGTACTGCAAAGATCGGTGCTTGGACCCCAGCTATTCACAATATATATTAATGATTTAGCTGAGGAAATTTAATGTAGTATTTTCAGGTTTGCAGACCCCACAAAGGTGGGTGGTAGGGTGAGCTGAGAGGAGGATGCAGAGATGCTTCAGTGCAATTTGGACAAGTAGGATGAGCGGGTAAATGCTTAGCTATTGAAGTATTATGTGGAGAAATGTGAGGTTATCTGCGTTGCTGAAAAAAAATAGGAAAACAGATTAGTATCTGAATGGCAATAGATTGGGAAAGGAGAGATGCAGTGATACCTGGGTGTCCTTGTTTACCAGTCACTGAAAGGAAGCATGCAGGTGCAGCAGGCAGTGAAGAAGGCAAAGGGTGTGTAGGCCTCATAGTGAGAGGATTTGAGTACAGGAGCAGGAGATGTCTTGATGAAATTGTACAAGGCCTTAGTGAGATCAGGTGTGGAGTAATGTGTGCAGTTTTGGTTTCATTATCAGAGGAAGGATGTTCTGGCCATGGAGGGAGTTCAAAGAAGATTTACCAGACTGATTCCTGGGATGGCAGGATTGATGAAGAGAAACTCAGTCAGTTGGGACAATCACTGCAGTTTAGAAGAATGAGGGATGATCTCATAGAAACCCATAAAATCCAGGTCAAGACAGGGTAAATACAGGGAACAATGACCAGGGAGTCTAGAACCTGAGGTCACAGTTTAAGGATACAGGGTAGGTCATTTAGGACTGAGATGGGAGGAGAAATTTTTTCACCCACAGTGTGGTGAGCCTATGGAATTCTCAGCCACAGAAAGTGATCAAGTACAAGACATTGAATGTTTTCAAGAACAGGCGACATGGTGGCTCAATGGTCAGCACTGCTGCCTCAGAGCGCCAGGGACTCAGGTTCAGTTCCACTCTTGGGTGACTGTCTGTGCGGAAGTTGCACATTCACTCCAGGTGCTCTGGTTTCCTCCGGGTGCTCTGGTTTCCTCCCACAGTCCAAAGATGTGCAGGTTAGGTGGATTGGCCGTGCTAAATTGCCCCCTACTGTCTAGGGGTGTGCAGGCTAGGTGGACAAGCCATGGTGAATACGGGTCTGCAGGAACAGGGTGGAGGTACTCGGTCTGGCTTGGATGCTCTTCAGAGGGCTGTTGTGGGCTCAGTGGACTGAATGGCCTATTTCTGCACAGTAGGGATCAATGAATCTAAAAGACGGAATTTGACACTGTTCTTGGGGCTAAATGGACCAAAGTATCCGGGGAGAGAGCAGGATGATCAGCCATGATCAAATTGAATAGTGGAGCAGGCTTGAAGAACCAAATGGCCTTCTCTTGCTCCTTTTTTCTATATTTCTATGTCACCCAAGCAGCATGCCAGCACTCAGCGGAAGACTTAGAGACTTGGCACGGCCGGGAAATGTCTGCCGTTCAGGGTCAGCGCCTGGAGGATGATGTTTTATTGCTTGTCCATGGGATAGAATGGACCATTAAACAATCTTGTTAACCGGTTCTGACTGTAAGGAGAAAATGAAACTGTCCAAGGTGTACTTGTCCCAGCCTTGACTGATCCCTCACGCTCTCTCTTTCCTCACAGCTGGAGCAAGCCTTGAAGCTGGAGACGGGGGAGAGGGAGCGCGAAAGTCTGGAAAACAAGAGCCTAGCGCAGCAGAACATCGAGCTACGGCGTCGCCTGGAGGAGGAACAGGCTTCTTATAAACGCAAGCTTCAGGCCTACCAGGAGGGTCAGCAGCGGCAGGCCCAACTGGTCCAGAAACTTCAATCCAAGGTACCGGGATATGAACCATGAGGTTTTCTGAATGAGAGATAGTAGGAACTGCAGATGCTGGAGAATCTGAGAATTTCTGGAGAAGGGTCTAGGCCTGAAACGTCAGCTTTCCTGCTCCTCTGATGCTGCTTGGCCTGCTGTGTTCATCCAGCTCTACACCTTGTTATCTCTGGTTTTCTGAATGTGTGTCTCTTGAGTTTCTCTTGTCTGTCTCCACCAGTTTTCCTTCCTGCTTTCACAGTTGTGAGATGGAGTTCCTGTGGCTTCCAGTTGCTGGTATTCATACGGATCAATTAAAAGAGCAAATTTTTTTTAACTGAAATCAGAAAGGCAAATATTTGAACATTATCTACAGCCAGAGATTCCCCCTTCCCATCTTGTGTATTGCTCTAATCCATGCTTGTAACATTGCTCACTGACAGAGAGACATACCTTCAAGCCACACCAAGGATAGTTAAGACTGAAGGTTGAGAAACAGTTGTAAGCTATCTGGGGCCTGATGGTACAGCCCTTTGGATAGTTGAGCTGAGACCTGCCAAACAACTTTCTTCAACTGTGTCAATGTTGTCCTTGTGAGGTTCTGCCCACTAGTGGATTGTGGGTTTGCATTATGGAACGGTTCTTGTTCATTGTGGGACTGACTGTGTCTGCTTCAAATGGTAGGTCCTTCAGTACAAGAAGAAATGTGGTGAGGTGGAGCAGCAACTGATTGAGAAAGCCACAGAGCTGGAACAGCACCGACTCTCTGTAAGTGCCATGGGGGGAGTTTGCTCCAACTCGTCCTTTACATTTGAACCCCCAAATAACATGCAAGGTGCCCAGAGGTTGTGTTTTATCACACTGCAGCTCTTGCACCATGAAGCAGGCCTGTTTTGGAGTAGATATGTAGTTACTATGGTGATGAGGGCCTATCTGAGTTAATCCGCTGTGTGGATGTTGTTTCCTGAGCTCTGGGGAGGGCACTGCCTGCCGTATTAAATTGGGGCAGATTTGAATTCTTCTCAATCAACTTTTCATTCTGCCATCTTTGACACAAAGGCTTTTTGTATGTAGATCAATTTAATTCCTTTCCAAAGTTATATATGAAACATTTGTAGAAGTTCATTACAATAGAATTGAAGAGTGGTAAGCGGCATTCAAATATCTGATTCCATTTATGTTGCATTTACATTTATATCACATTAAACGTTTTCTGATGCATCCATATCAAGGGGTTTTACACTGGTTCCTTGCAGATCACTTGATGTGCTATGGAAGCTGGGAGGGTCATATAAGTCATCTTTTCCCCGTTGAGCCTCTGTAACAGCTTTCCTGTGCTGTCCATCAGCACATAGTCCTGGAGCTTGTAATGTGCCGGTCAGCAACATTTGGTCCTCACAGTTCAAGACCAACAAACATCTTTCACCAAGTTGATGGCGCCCATCCCAGCAGATGTCGATATTTATCTTCTTGTATGTCCCCAGGACTAGTTCGTAAAGAAAAGTGTGATTTGAGATGAACCTCAACAAGAACTGTCCCCTTTCTTTCCAGAAGCCCTTGGCAAACTCACATTCTGGAAGGTGATGGTTTCCTAGCCATTGCGTCAAGGATTACACTGATTTTGAATTGCTTAAAAATAGCAGGCATTCTGATTTTTTTTTTGTTTCATTGATTGTTAGAAAGTTTAAAAGCCTACCTGGCACCCCCAAGTACGCACTAATCTCATTGCTGTGAAAATTAAGATTTTGCTGCATTTTGTAGGATTAGCTTCCAAGATCTGACTCCATTGCAGATATCCATAGGGCTGAGAGGAATACTGGTGGATTCAGCAATTTTTTTTGTGTTGTCCCCAGCTATCTGACTCTAATGCCCATTGGGATCTGGATGAGACTGTGAGGAGGCGAACTGTTGAGCTTGTAAAGTTGGATGTGTATCCTTGCAATTTTCTTCTGGTGGGGGTTTACACTGAAATGCAAAGTGCAGAAACGCAGAGAAAACCACCCTGAACACATTTGCCGCACAGTGTGACAAACAACGCAGTTCATCCCCCACAGTTTCTGCACAAGTGTTTTAATTAAAGCCCACGGTATTGTCTTTGCAGAGCCAACTGGACCTCACAGAGTCACGACTGCGGCAGTCTGAAGAGGAACAGAGCAATGAACTGGAAAACACCCTGATCCGCTTGGAGGAAGAACAGCAGAGGCAAGTGGGGGAAAATCACATGAATCTGAGCCAGGGAGTGGGCAGGAGGTGATTTCCCACATGTAGCGAATTCCCAAACCCTTCATGTTGAAACCCATTTAGGACTTTGCTGCACAGAACTGTCAGAGAAAAGCTCCACACAAGCCCTCCACCCATCTAGATTGAGTGTGTTAAAGCCAAGATCCTTTTCCACCTGCAACTATTACAGAATTATGACCATATACCAAACCAAAATCCCTTCCCAGAACTGATCCAATGTTCTACTGTAGACAAAGAGTTTCCAACACATGCTCTATTTCTCTGTCTTTCTTTTATTTGTCTTTCTGTTTCTCTGCCTCTCTTTCTCTCCTTTTCTCTTGTTCTTTCTCTCTCTTTTTGCCTCTTCTCTCTTTTCTCTCCAACCTCAGTGTCTTCTATAATTATCCCAATCTCAGGCTCTCGTGAAAATATTCCCACAATTCCAGACAATCCTGTATCCTCTCCCACAATCCCAAACACCTTGTGTATATTCCCACAATCCCAGTGATATGGATATTCTCACAATCTTAAGGATCCTGTTTAAATATTCCTACTGTCCCAGGGTCACAATCCTACGGAGGCCTTATAAATATTGACACATTACCAGGGGCCCTCTTAATACCTGCAGAGCTCTGAAGTAAAGGCAGGAAAAATAGAAAATTCTCTGTGGATCTGGAAAGGCAAACAAAATTAATGTTTCGGCTTGATACCTTTGGTAGAATTTCTCTTTACAATCAATGAAAGAAAATTAGTGGGTCTGGCCTCTGATTCCAATGGAAAGTCGAGTCCTCGAGCCCAGAGCTGTGAAATGGACTGAGTGGACTTAAATTCTTAAATTGTCTTAAATTCTCTTTCTTTAAAATTTCTTTTCTTTATTATTGTGGAAGGTCTGTTATTCTGAACTTTTATTTCTTTATTTTTCTAATTTATTATTATGATTTTGTACTCTTGAAGGTCTACAATGCTGGACTTATTATTTCCTTATGTTTCTAATTTTTTTTCCTAAGAACTCATACTCGTGAATCTGTGCCTAGGTACCTCTGTACCTAAGATGGCGCCTTAAGTGGCAACTTGTAAACATTTTACTGTATTCATATAAGTACATGTGAGAATAAAGCTAATTCAGTTCAATCCAATATTTGCTCTTTCTGCTCGAATCCACATGGTTAGTTAGTGCTTTGTTGGGTAAATTTTCTCCTTTTACTTTCTATGACTGTTCACTCAGCCTGAGCTCTTTGACTGACTTGTTCATTGTAGGCCATTGACATTGAGCACAGAGTCAGCCTGAGCTTTGGCCTAACCACACAGCCCAACACCCGAGCTCTGGAAGTCTCCGCTGCGCCATTCCTCACTGACACAGTCCAGGCCGAGAATTTGTTGCCTGAATCCACCATTTGTCTGTTTCTAGAGTCACAAGCAGCCTGGTCTGATTTGACGTGTCTGTCCTTTGCGTTTTTAGAAGTGCCAGCTTGACTCAAGTGAACTCCATGCTCCGGGAGCAGTTAGACCAGGCGAACTCTGCCAACCTCGCCCTGAGTGAGGATATTCGCAAACTGACTGCCGACTGGACTAAGGCACGGGAGGAACTCGAGCAGAAGGAGGTGGAATGGAGACAGGAAGAGGAGGTACAAAACATCTCAGTGCATTTACACCCAAGCCCGCACCATCCTTTCTCATATGTCTGCATATTCAGTAAGACGTAGATGCTGCTGAATGCAGTCTGGCCACTGCAATGTACAGGCAATGAATATTATATGGGAATAGTGACTTACAGAGGTCATTAATTGGTAATAGAAGAGACTGTTGTTAGACGCATGATATATGGCAGCGTGTGTATATATTATAGAAGAGGAGGTCTTAAAATGTATAAAGGTAGATAAATCCCCCGGGACCTGATCAGGTGTTTCCCAGAATTTTATGGGAAGCTAGGGAAATGATTATTCGGCCTCTTGCTGAGATAGCTATGAGTGAGATGCTGAAAGACTGGATGATGGCTAATGTGGTGCCAATATTTAAGAAAGGCTGTAAGAAAAAGCCAAGGAACCAAAGACCAGTGAGCCATACGTCAGTGATGGGTAAGTTGCTGGAGGGGTTTCTGAGGGACAGGATTTACATGCATTTGAAAAGGCAAGGACTGATTAGGGATAGTCATCATGGCTTTATGTGTGGGAAATCGTGTCTTGCTAACTTGTTTGTGTTTTTTGAAGAGGTGACAAAAAAGATTGATGAAGGCAGAATGGTAGACATTGTTTATGTGGACTTCAGTAAAGCATTTGACAAGGGTCCACATGGTAAACTGGTTAGTAAAGTTGGATCACATGGGATCCGGGGGAGCTAGCAATTGGATACAAAATTGGCTTGAAGGTAGGAGACAGAGGACATTAGTAGAGGGTTGTTTTTCAGACTGGAGGCCTGTGATCAGTGGTGTGCCACAAGGATTGGGGCTAGGTCCATTGTTTTTTGTCATTTATGTAAATGATTTGGATGTGAAAATAGGAGGTATGGTTAGTAAGTTTGCAGGTGACACCAAAATAGGTGGTGTAGTGGACAGTGAAGAAGATTACCTCAGAGTACAACGGGTCCCTGATCAGATGGGCTGATAGGCTGAGGAGTGGCAGATGGAGTTTAATTTAGATAAATGTGAGGTGTTGCATTTTAGTAAGGCAAACCAGGGCAGGATTTATACAGTGAATGGCAGGGCCCTGGGGAGTGTTGCCAAACTAAGAGACCTTGTGTATAGGTGTATAGTTTCTTGAAAGTGGAGTCGCAGGTAGACAGGGTGGTGGAGAAGGCTTTTGGCACGCTTGCCTTCATTGGTCATAAGATTGATTTTAGGAGTTGGGGTGTCATGTTATAACTGTACAGGACATTGGCGAGACCACTTTGGGAATACTGTGTACAATTCTAGTTGCCCTTCTATAGGAAGGATGTTGTTAAACTTGAGAGGGGGCAGAAAAGATTTACAAGGATGTTGCTGGGACTAGAAGAATTGAGCTATAGGGAGAGGCTGAATAGGCTGGGGCTATTTTCCCTGGAGCGTCAGAGGGAGAGGGGTGACCTTATAGAGGTTTATAAAATCATGAGGGGCATGGATAGTGTGGGGGAGTCCAAAACTAGAGGACATAGGTTTAAGGTGAGAGGGGAAAGATTTAAAAGGACCTGAGGGGGAACTTTTTGACACAGAAGGTGGTGCGTGTCTGGAACAAGCTGCCAGAGTAAGTGGTGAAATATGGTACAATTACAGCATTGAAGAGGCATCTGGATGTGTATATGAATAAGAAGGGTTTAGAGGGATATGGGCCAAATGCTAGAAAATGGGACTAGGTCAGATTGGGATGTCTTGTCGGTGCAAATGAGTCAGACCGAAGCTTTATGACAGTGTGATTCTAACTAATGGGGTACATTGAGACATGATGGGGAATGGAGTGTTAGCGAGTAGACAAACTGCAGAGTATTAGGAAAAAGAGCGTATAGATAAAAGAATGCATTCTGGTGCACCTCATCAATGTAACAATATCTGTTATGACCCTCAGTGTAAGCGTCGAGCCTCAGTACAACCCTCCACTGGAATTTCAAAGGGTCAGAGGCGACTTGATTGAAATGCCTTAGACCCTGAGGTGACCTGACAGGTTAGGTATGGAGAGTATGTTTCCCCTTATTGGTAAATCAAGATCGGCGGGGGAGGGCATTGTTTAAAAATAAGGGGCTGCCAATTTAAGACAGATGAGGCAATTTCTTTTCTGAGGGTTGTGAGTCTTTGGAACTCACTTCCTGAAAAGATGGTGGAAGCAGAGTTTTTGAATATTTTTCCGGCAGAGCGAGAGAGATTCTTGACGAACAAGTGGATGAAAGGTTACAGGCTAAGGTGGGACTTTAGATTAGAGTTGAAATTACAATCAGAACAATCGTGATCTTATTAAATGGTGGAACATTAAATGTCCTAGTCCTGCTGTTTGTTCATCTGTTTGTATATATGATTTCTGATATATCCCATGACCTCAGTGTAACATTCTCTGTTGCAGCTCTCCGTGTAATGCTCGATCTAACATTCTCAAACATACCGCGCATTTGATACTGTATTAAGGTCTGAAATGGCTCATCCTCATCATTGTATCGTAATAGAGTCATGCAGCATGGGAACAGACCCATTGGTCCAACCAGTCCATGCCAAAGATAATCCCAAATTAAACTAGTCCCACCTGCCTGCTCCTGGCCCACATCCATCCAAACCTTTCCTATTCATGCACCTATCCAAATGTCTTCTAAACATTGTAATTGTACCCGCATTCACCACTTCCTCAGGAAGTTCATTTCACGCACAAACCATCCTCTGTGTAGAAAATTTGCCCCTCATGTCTTTCTTAAAACTCTCTCCTGTCACCTTAAAAGTGTGCCCCTTGTCTTGAAATCCCCCATCCTAGGGAAAAGACAACCACCATTAACCCTATCTAAACCCCTCATGATTGTATAAACCTCTATATAAGGTCACCTCTCAACCTCATATGCTCCATTGAAAAATGTCCCAGCCTATTCAGCCTTTCCTTTAAACTCAAACCTTCCATACCTGGCAACATCCTGGTAAATCTCTTCTGGACCCCCTCTGGCTTAGACATTTCTCTCTCCTCTCAGTCTCTTGATTTCTGATATACCCATTACCTCACTCTGAATTCTCTGTTTTTTTGTTGATGCTAGTCTAGAATATTGAGCTAGTGAATATTGAGCTTTAATCTTTCTGTATCTTTTTTTATTTTAGTCCTTTAACACGTATTTCAGCAACGAACACAATCGCCTGTTGACACTGTGGAGACAGGTTGTGGGCTTCAGACGTCACTTCTGTGAGATAAAATCGGCCAGTGAGCGGTGAGACACACAGCGACAAAGTTTAAACAGAGAATACTGTGGGAGAGGGGGCAGAGGGCAGTGCACACTCCGGGAATGGGTCTGCTCATGCCTGACTTCTGTTTGATTGAGATTGTTATTACTGTACTCCCTACAAAGTCCTGGTTATGGTGGAGGAAGGTGGTGGATTTAAGGAGAGACAGAGTTTGTGTTCCTGTCTCCAGTAACCATCCACCAACTCTTTCAATAGTCGGTGTGGTGCGTGATGTCAAAGCAGGACAGTGTGGAACTTTAATCATGAACTCCCCTTGGTTGCACATACAGTGGTGAACCAACAAGTGTAGCTGGTTAAAAGCTGATTGGAATGGTTAACACTGAGTTTGTCGGACGACAGTATGCAGTGTTGCAGAGCCCATGTGGGGAAATCAAGTTAAGGTGCAGCAAAAGATGGAATCCAGTGGGAATGGTTTTTCCTTTTGAGAAGGTGTTGGCAAGCTGCCTTCTTGAATTGCTGCAGTCCATGTGGGCTAGGTACACCCAGAGTGCAGTGAGGGAGGGAGGTCCAGGGTTTTAGCCTAGATTGCTGTGTGTTTTGGGCCACAGAATACAGCAGACATGATGTTAGGGCAAACTCCATGAGCTCTTCGATCGGAGTCAATGGTTGAAGCAGAGATCTTGTTAGTTGGGTGCTTGATGAAAATGGGGATGAAACTATATGAGAATAGGATTATAATTAGAGCCAGGTCTACCGTGAAAACCAGCACAGGATGATGGGCCCAATGACTGCCTTGTGTGCTGTGTCATACTATCATTCTGTCAAGGTTAACTGAAGAATGACCATCTGCATGACATATTGGTGAGCAACTGATGCCTCTAGATCACATGACCACATATCCAGGGGCAGGGACTATACCGACAGGGCAAATGACAGGCAGAATTAATTCACCTTTACAACCCTATTTAAGTTCAACTGAGGACCAGATCCTGATTCCAATGACCAGAAGTAACTGAGAAGAGTGTGGGGATGAGGGGGTTGTTATACCTTAATTTACAAGAACAAAGAGGGCTGCAGGTTGTGCTTGCTTCTGCAGTAAGGGGACTGTTTCTCCTGTGCCTGTTTCTGTGGAGTGGGGAGAGGGCAGAAGAGTGGGACTGTCAGGAAGGCTCTTTTTGTCCGATTTGAGACAATCTCAGATTTCCTCAGGGATCTCTCCGAGCTGCGGAACGATCTGGCGAAATCCTCGCGCACGATCCACGCGTCATGCCTGAACCTGAGCGGATACCTGCATTTGTCGGAGAGCAGCTCCACGGTGACGCTGGAGAAACAGTCGATCCAGCTCGCTCAGCTCGAGGAACAGCTCCGGGACAAGGTGCGGGAAATGATCCAGCTCCAAGCCAAGTACGACCGGGAGAAAGCCGAGCAGAATGCCAGGTCTGTGTGTGCGCGCGCACGTGTCGACGGTCAGTCGGTCACTTTACCCCCCTGGGATGTAAAAAATGTGTGTGAATTGAATGTCACCCAGGTTGATGCTCCCTTGATTTCAGAAGAGCACAGGAAAAATAGACACAATAGGCTATTCAGCCCCTCGAACCCGGTACGCACATTCAATACTCATCTTCTGCCTCAACTCCACATTCATGCTCTTTAAGATAGAGATGAGGAGGAATTTCTTCTCTGAGGATAGTGAATCTGTGGAATTCTTTACCACAGAGGCCTGTTGGGACTAGATCGATCTGTTTATTAAGGGCTGAGATAGATTTTTAATCAGCAAGGAAGTCAAGGGTTACATGGAAATGGCAGAAAAGTGGAATTGAGATTATTGGATCAGCCATGACCTCATTGAATGGCAGAGCAGTCTCAATGGGCTGAATGGCCTACTTCTGTTCCCATGTCTTCTGATCTTCCCAACATCCTGTGATTCCCTGAGAGATCCAGACTCTGCCTCTTATAGTTGTAAATATATATTCAGCCATTGCAGCGTCCACAAATCCTTTTTGGTGGAGGTCCAAAGATTCGCAATTCCACGAATGAAGAAATTCCTCTTCAACTGAGTCCTAAATAACCAGCCTCTTATCCTGGGACCGTGCCCTTGTGTTCTAGATTCTGCAGCTGGGATCAACAATTTCTCAGTATCCAAGCTGTAGAACCCCTTCAGAATCTTGTGTGTTTCAATGAGATCAACTTTCATTCTTCTAAACCTCAGAGTATAGACTCAATTTACCCAGCCTTTCATCGCAGGACAATCCCCCCCTTTCATTCTAAGGACCAATTTAAAATTAGAATTTAGAATTAGGTTTTATTGTCACATGTGCTGTAGTACAGGGATACACGAGTACAGCGAAAAGTGTACAAAGTCACCATTTCCAGTGCCATCTTAGGTACAAGGATACCTCGGTGCAAAACCTCAGGTACCTATTAGAAAATTGAAGAAATAAAATTAAAAGATCAGCACCAGAGTCCTTATAAAGCTAGGTACAGAGATGCCTAGGTACAAAATCTCACGTATAAATTAGAAAAATGAAGGTAAAAGTTTGGCATTGCAGTTTAGTGAATATATTCACTGTTTTGCCTCAAATCATAATCTCACCATACAATGTAGCATTGAGTCATTCAGAGCAGGATTCCTGCTACTGAGGACTGTCCAGCAATTCCTGCTGGATAGTGCAAGGATGTGGATGCAGTTGTGATTCCTATGGTAGTCAAATAGCTTGTTGATGATCACTTTCTGACCTCAGACAGAATGATTCACCTGGTGGATGATGTGCATGACATCGTGCACCCTCCCGCTCCCGCATCCCACTTGCTCTACCAGAGGTGATTACATGGGCATTGTTCTGGGAATGTTAGGGTTACAGCAATAAGGGATGGAGTCCAGGATAGGGAGCTGATGTCATGTTTTAAATTTCACTGCATTGGAAAATACATATTGCAAATTTTTGTCAATGTCCACTCCCCTTTATTTTTGTTCCATTGCTTGTTGAGTGTGGCAGCAACAGTAAATCTGGCATAAATCTGTGGTATGACTCTGGTCTAGGGGTCCAACTTTGACTCTGAAACAAAGTAGAGTGAAACTATCCCCTTCAGATGGGCTGTGACTCTGTATTCAGGCTGTTTGCACTAGCTACAGGCAATATGAAGCAAAGCCAGTTTGCATTAATGCTACAAAAAATAAATTGCTGGAGAAACTCAGCAGCATCGGTGGAGAGAAAGCAAAGTTAACATTTTGAATCCAGTGTCGCTTCTTCAGAATTTCTGCTTTTGTTCCAGATTTCCAGCATCCACAGTTCTTTGTTTTATATTAATTCTACAGTTCGTCCTGCAGTAATACAACCCCCAGTAGATTTTTTTATCTATGTAGTTTATGCTGCAGTTATCAAACCTGGCAGTAGATGGCGCCTGAAGATCACCTGAACTGGGCAGCTCCTCCTTCCAGCCTCTGAGCTGAAAGATGGAGATTTAATCCTCAGGGATAGTAGGAACTGCAGATGCTGGAGAACCTGAGATAACAAGGTGTAGAGCTGGATGAACACAGCAGGCCAGGCAGCATCAGAGGAGCAGGAAGGCTGACGTTTTGGGTCTGGACCCTTCTTCAGAAATGGGGGACGGGGATTCTGAAATAAATAGGGAGAGGTGGAGGCGGTGATAGAAGGTGGATAGAGGAGCAGATAGGTGGAGAGAAGACGGGCAGGTCAAGGAGGCGGGGATGAAGCCAGTAAAGGTGAATGTAGGTAGGGAGTTGGGATGGGGGTTGGTCAGTGGGGCAGGAGGGGCAGGTAGGTGGGAGGGAAGACAGACAGGTCAAGGAGGCGGGGACAAGCTGGGCTGCTTTTGGGATGCGGTAGGGGGAGGGGAGATTTTGAAGCTTGTGAAGTCCACATTGAGACCATTGGGCTGCAGGGTTCCCAAGCGGAATATGAGGTGCTCTTCCTCCAGGCTTCGGGTGGCATCGTTGTGACACTGCAGGAGGCCCAGGATGGACATGTCGTCTGCGGAATGGGAGGGGGAGTTGAAGTGGATCGCGACTGGGAGGTGCAGTCGTTTGTCATGAACTGAGCGTGGATGTTCCACAAAGCGGTCTCCAAGCCTCCGCTTGGTTTCCCCGATGTAGAGGAGGCCACACCGGGAACAGCGGATACAGTATACCACATTAGTGGATGTGCAGGTGAACATCTGTTTAATGTGGAAGGTTTTCTTGGGGCCTGGGATGGAGGTGAGGGGGGAGGTGTAGGGGCAGGTGTAGCACTTCCTGCGGTTGCAGGGAAAGGTGCTGGGGGTGGTGGGGCAAATGGGGAGTGTGGAACGGACGAGGGAATCGCGGAGAGAGAGATTTAATCCTGGTGTTTGCTGCAGCATTCATCAGTGTGACTCTGTCTGATATAACCCCTGGTTTAACTGTAATATATATCCAACCTCTCTCATAACCTGTACCATTCAGTCTTCTACATCCCTCGATGTAATATACCCTGGACCCTTAATTTTAACACACTACTGTGCAACTCTCTCTCAGTGTAATATTTAAACTGATCCTTCAGTACAATTCTGAGGAAGTGCTGCACTGTTGGAGGTGCTATCCTGCTGGTGAAACCCCGGCTCTGCCTGCCCTTCTCAGAAGGCAACACATTTGAATGGGATCAAAGGTTATGGGGAGAAAGCAGGATTAGGCTATTGAGTTGGACGATCAGCCCTGATCATGAAGAATTGCAGAGCAGGATCAAAGGGCCAAATGGCCTCCTGCTCCTTTCTTCTGTGTTACATGATAAACACCAAACAAAAAAAAACTAAAGAACTGTGGACGCTGGAAATCCAAAACAAAATCAGAAATTGCTGGAAAAACTGAGCAGGTCTGGCAGCATCTGTGGAGAGAAAGCAGAGTTAAGGTTCTGAGTCAAGGGACCATTCTTCAGAGCACCCTTCCCTAATTCATTTACTTATCCTGTTTTCTCTTGGGCTCATCCAATTTTGTTTTGCCTCCAATCAAGGCGACTCAAATTTAAAAAATAAAACAGGGAAGTGAATAAAGTGAATAACATCAGAAAGTGCCAGAGAAACTTGACAGGTTTAACAGCATTTATAGAGAGAGAAGCAATAGTTAATGTTTGAAGTCTGATGTGACTCCTCTCAGAGCAGGAGAAAAGGCGGAACAGTGATGAGTTTTATACTGTAGAGAAAGGTGAGTCTAGCAGGTGGAACAGAGCGAAAGGTTAGAAGGCAAGAGAGACTAGCAATTGTAGATGCCACAGAACAGAAGGCAAAGGGAGTGGTAATGGTTGTAGAGAAGTGGCAGAGAGCCAGAACAGGTGTTAATAGCAGAATCCCAGCCTCCACAGTATCTTGCTTTTGGTTAAGGTGAATAAAGAAGCAGCCCTGATTTCCCAGTGGCCCTGGGTATCGCTGCAGCAGATAGACCCAGACAGTGCCATGTGTCCCGATAGGTTTGCTGTAGGTTATCATCAATCTGAATATGGGTTAGACTTGCTCCAAGTTCATCTTCACCAGCCCATAGTGAGGGAGAGAAATCAACTTGGCTGTCCGCTCAGATCACCAATGTGTCACTCCATTCAGACAGACATGAGCTCTGGCTGAAGACAGAATCAGCTGTAATTCTCTAGATGACCACATGAACTTTCCGACGCTTCAGTCTGGTCTGACAGCGAGTGATTCACTTCACTGGAGCAGTAATAGATGCTGCTTGTTCCCTGTCCTGGTGAGGATCAGCATCTCGAGGACAGGGAGGGGAACTCTTTCAGAAGAAACAAATCTGTGCAGACAGACAGACAGACATAGTGCAGCTGAGTTATTGAATGCCACTGGGTTAATCATAGTATCCCTACAGTGTGGGAGCAGGCCATTCTGCCTGTCGAGTCCACACTAACCCTTCGAAGAGTATCCCACCCCCTACCCATTCCCTGTAACCCTGCATTTCCCATGGCTAACGGGCAATTTAACACGGCCAATTCACCTACACATCTTTGGACTGTGGGAGGAAACCCACGCAGACACGGGGAGAATGTGCAAACTCCACACAGACAGGCACCCGAGGCCCTGGCGCTGTGAGGCAGCAATGCTAACCACTGAGCCACCGTGTTGCCCAATACTGAACAAATGATGCTGTTATTGACTACAGTTTTCCAAATTGATTCTTTTATAGCAATCTAAAAATCTAGTCTAAAAGTAAAGCAGAGCACTGCAGATACTGGGAGTGTGAAGCCATAACCAGAAATGCTGGTAAACCACAGCACAGGTTGCATTTATGGAGAGAGGAACAGTGTTAGTGGTCGGTGGTGGTGGGGGTGGGGGCGG